GTGTTGGCCGCGTGGGCCGTCAGCTTCCTGGTCCAGTGCGACCCCTTTGCCGTCTACTTAGTCCACCTCCTCCTGTGGTTTCTTCTCGATTATGTGCTCTTATGTATAGTTCAGGTCTGTCTCTATCGCATCATTCATTGTCATATCATTTGAGTATATTTTGTGTTGTTTTCATTTGTGATTATGTCAACTGAAGAGCAATGAAATTAGTATATCATATTTAAGAGGTTTTATGAAATAATACTTTAATCTTAGGCTTAAATGTTAAGCCAGATTATGGCTGTTATAGAACATGGCTTTATAAATGCTTTATAATTATGGTAATACGAAAATTAATGATTTTATAAAACCTCTGCAAACAACACAAAATACACGAAAATCATAACTTTTAAAAAGAGATTAATTTGCATTCAATGTGAACCATATGCTGGTATTGATTGGTTATATTTGTGATGTACAGAACGGTTCCATACCATTCAGTAAGACTGACTTTGTGGTGGCCTGGATGTTGAGGGAGTGCTGTGCTCTCATACTGTTTATCAGAGCCCTATGGGAACCGGACATAAAGTGGAGGACCGGCACGTTTAAGCTGATGTGGGGCGGTGTCGCCCAAGAAGTGAAAACAAAATTATAGCATTGAGTGAATGGTTTTGTTTTGTGAAACGAGTGGTCAATATTTGATCGATAACTTAATCAACTTTATAACTATATTTACAACAAAAAAGTGCCTCAAATTGTCACCAATAGTGTTAATAGTGTTGTGTATTAAACTCATATATGAATCATACGGCAGTCTACCGAATGACATGAATTTATTTAATTAAACTTTATAACTATATTTACAACAAAAAAGTGCCTCAAATTGTCACCAATAATGTTAATAGTGTTGTGTATTAAACTCATATATGAATCATACGGCAGTCTACCGAATGACATGAATTTATTTAATTTTATACAAAACTCATCCCTCAACTCAACATCATTTTAATCATTGAAAACATTATTTTGTTTTTTGAGACAATTTTTGTGAACTTCAAATATAACACTCAATGACATGATGTCGGATGTGTTGGCATTTGATTGCATTGAATGTATAGAATAGAGTTCTGTTGAACGCCTAATGATCTGAATTAATGGACCGAATAATATGAGTCTCACATTTGGAACAGACATCGAAAGGGAACTCCCATTGAATGTGTCGACCATTACGTTGGAGAACACAATCAACATCTCCTCTCAGGACTACTCAACACTTAAGGCGTGAATCGGTTTTTTTGTGCGAAAAAGTTATTATTTTTTGAATTAATTGTTTTATTTATTTTAAATTCTGTCTCATCAACGAAATATACAAATTGTTTAATTAAGTGATAATAATATAATTCGACTCTTATTTTACAAATAATTAACATTTCATTGAATCCCCAGATCTGATAAATAGTTACTATATTTGGTTTTGCTTTTACAACTCATTTGTCGATCAAATTTATGTTTTATTTTTATCGTTTATATTATGAAGAGAACAAAAATACTCATTATTTATTAAATACTTTTATTTAACCGACAAATCAATGCTTGAAATTAACGTCAAATTCTTAAGAAATCCGACGAAAAACTAATTCATTGCTTCTTGTCTTAAGAATTACAAGAGTTTTATACAATTTCTTAATATAATAAACAAAATGCTGTTCCAATAAATCCAATAAATGCTTATAAACATAGTGTCAACACAATTGTGCTTCTGATGACCAATAATTTGAATCTCTTTGTAATGTACTCCTCGTGTGAATTGGTTACAAAAATACATAAAATAGATTCCGTTTATTGAATCTTCCGTATAGTGTACACAGAATTGTTTTCAANATTGTGCTTCTGATGACCAATAATTTGAATCTCTTTGTAATGTACTCCTCGTGTGAATTGGTTACAAAAATACATAAAATAGATTCCGTTTATTGAATCTTCCGTATAGTGTACACAGAATTGTTTTGTAAAAATATCTGTTCTTTTGACAAAAAAATGTTTTCAAATTGTTATAAAAAGTATTATTTTCTCTATAATTTTTTAGAATTTGTTTTATTACAATAAATTTAATATAATAATTAGCAATGAATAAGAAATGTGTTAATAACTTATACCACGAGATCAGGCGATTTTGATATAGAAACAAAGTTTTGAAATAATCTTTTATATCAAAATACAAATAATAGCATATAATGATTGTAATCAATATATCGATCCAGTGTTGTATACATAGGGATAACTAAACATTCCTTTCATTTCTCAAAATACCTTTCAATCGATAGTTAACTTATAATTCAATAGTAAAACAACTGTTCACTAGTCATGAGTCGATTTATAATAACCTATATCTCAACGAAATATATGATAGTTTGCGAAATGAAAAAAGTCAAAAATACCTTTCAATCGATAGTTAACTTATAATTCAATAGTAAAACAACTGTTCACTAGTCATGAGTCGATTTATAATAACCTATATCTTAACGAACGATATGATAGTTTGCGAAATGAAAAAAGTCTTCACTAATTGAAAATCAATGTTAAAACAACTGAATTATAAAACTTATTTCTTATCAAATTATGTCTATTTTATAAATTTTCTCCAAATTAGAAAAAAGACAAAATAAACAAATTCTTATTTTACATTTTATAGTAAAAATCGTTAATAAAATTGTTTATAACATTTTTGTTTTCCATTTTTATGCAAATATTAATTGAGAGCACAGTCTCATCAATTCCTGTAAATATTATATTTTCAAATCATTTTAAATAAAGATATTTTCAAATGAGTTTCGCAATTATTTGCGTTTATTTATAGGTTTTTTGCGAAATAACTCAATCGTTAAGTCGTGTCCCATATTCGGGTTTCATATGGAGGGCAGCTATGGGTGCGATACTACTCAACCAACTGATTAAATAGTTGTCTGCATTCAGAGGCAGTTTATTTTGATCGCAATGTTTGCCAACAAATATATTCTTCATTAAAGTGGATGTATGGCAGGGATGGATGGCATAGAAGGGCCGCATCAGTATTGGGTGTTCCTATCGCACAGACATTGAATGCACTTTAAATTGTGTTTCAATTAAACAATACTTTACAAGTTAGCAATTTATTAATGGTCTCATCATAGATATTGAGGCAGGTCGCTATTTATTCGGTAACTATTAACACTATAGTATTGTACTTGGTACTATACAACCCATAAGGCTATTTAGAATAAATAAAATTGCATCACTTATCAACTCTCTCTCTCTCTCTTTCTCTCTCTCTCTCTCTCTCTCTCTCTCATCAATTGAATCCATTAGAGAGTAGATCATATGATTTAAAATATAATTGTGAAATGTAAAAAATGGCAATTCATGTTCAAAATTGCTTATTAATACCATTTGTGTTAACATTGAACCATATTTTTGGTAGAGAATGGATATGTCGTTCGTGGCATCACTTGTTGTTTCCGATAAGTAAAACTTAGGGATCCATTTCCAAATGTCTTCGATTTGAACCAATGATCCATCTTTTGAACACAAAATAATAGTTTAAACAATAAACAGAAAATAATAGTTTGGTTTAAATACATTCTGCAATAAAATATAAATCTCAATACAAGACCTGTTTTAGTGACCGTGAAGTATAGGACAGGAACTGAATAACTGATACTATAAACGATATGATATTCAAATTTGGCGATCAGTGGCGATGAGACACCGGCTTCTTGTGGGTCAACATTAAAACAAGTTGTGTCCACACATTCAGAAGTAGATTCCTCTGCATTCACTGGAAGTGTTCTGAATTCTGTTTTAGTTAAGTACACGCCTCCCACATCATCCTAATGTTGTCCAAAATAAATCAAAACAATGTTTGAGTCAATATATTGAGAATATTCTGCAATTCAACCAAATCCGACAGTTTATTATAGATTTAATGATAACTTTATTGATCACAAGAATTAAAAAGATGTATTAAATAGTGTTGACAAATCATTTTAATTCCTTATAAATGAGATAAGAATTGGAAAAATATATTTATAAAACTAGAAACAAATGCTATTTTTGAAACACTAAGACCCGGTCCCCGAAGACCAAGTGCTGAACGATAGGAAATTTGGGCAAATATTCCTTGCAATACATGTTCAGTAATCCGCGGTTTATTTTGGACCAGTCGTCCACTCCAGAGATATTCCACAACTGATTCGAGTGCTCAGCAAAGGGTCCTCTTTTGACTTCGTGTATGAACTGAATGGCCGTATAGAACATGAGGTCGTCTTTGTATTTGAGAGCCACCTGCGGGTCGGGGAAGGAATGGGGTTCGACGTGGGGGTGACCCACGAGTTGGGCGGACCCCCAGTAAAACGGAAGGAACTGGAAGTCGTCTAACGAGAAGGCGCCGTGACTTCCGGCCGGCTCTAAGTTGTACCGCAACTGGATTTTGCGAACGAGTGGCAGATATATGACTGAGAAGATGGTCAACAACTCGTGGCTCAGACGCCGCACCACTTCTTTGTCGAGCACTTCATCGCGAGTGTCGATGAGTTTGAGTTTATATAAACCCATGAGGAATACCACGAAACACATCTCATGTCCCGTCCCATAGTCGATGCGCTGCTGATTGCCAAACGAGTCCATCAAATATGGCTTCAGTTCTGTGGCGTCCTCTGCGCCCAACACGAGGATCAGCTCTTCGTCCACTTCTGTCTCCATACGACTGAACCAAACTCTGAAGGCTTTGTTGCCAAACCTCTGGTCCTTATCGTCGTCCAACGGCTTCACCTCATCGACCAGTGCCGACAGTTTGTCCAGAAGTGTCACCACACGGACCAACACCTCTTCGGTCACCCCTTGTCTTCGGTTGAGACCTCTTTCGTGGACTCCTTTCGCGAATTCATTCAACTGTTTAATGAAATTCAAGTAATCCTTATATCCGTCGCATTTGAGCCACAATTCAATGTCTTTTTGACTCAATATTCTTCTCTGCGGTACAGAAGTGCTAGACATCACTGAATCGGATCCCAAGACAATCGCACTCTCAAATGCACTCAAATGTAAACCAATTGCCAAATGAGTGCAAAAGTGACCGAAAGGTGGCGCTCAGGACAGTCAACAACTCTTCAACCAATGATCACTTCATTTGTGCCATAGTTTGCAGCAAACACTCACTGATTGGCAATCATTGCAAGTAAATCTTTGCCACCACCAGGGTACTAATGTAATATTGCACTGTACTGTACTAGGATCATTTTGTGTCCCCTCCCCCTCCCCCTCCGTCTCTAATAAATGAGATACAATTAAGTCTAACATTAAGTCAGTTATAGTCAGAAACACAAGAATTTTGTTTTTTCTATAGAAAACTTCAGCAAATGGTACCAAAAATCCATTTAAAGTCTATGGAAAAGGAGATTATCCCGAAAACTGTAGTTAACCTTGTCTATGTTATCAAATGATATACAAATATATTTATGTACACAGTTAACTTGTACATTAAATGCCAATCAATCCATGTGTTTGTATAACCCTTAAGAAATTATATCATAGTTTAGAAAAACTTTTATACGAACACCACTTCACCAGCAATTCATTTGTCTTACAATTAAAGACTTTTTTAGGGAAAAGTTTGAAAAACTTTTCAAATAATGTATGAATTCATTGGGTTTTAGTTGTGATTGAGAACTGATAACAAGAGTTTGCACTCAAGTCTTACGCAAAATGCAAATCAAATGCAAATCACTTTATGAATACATATCATATCTATTGGTAAAGTGTGCGCCAATTCTCGACACTAAACACTAAACTCTTAAATAGATTTTCAATCCAAATATAATCACAAATGAGTTATACTTTTTGTGTACTGTATATCATAGCGAAACCCTTCATATATTATACATTTCTTACTCTTTTGGTGGCAATGAATCGATTGCATGGTTTTGGCAATGAATACATTCTTATGGATATAATGTTATAACAAATCATACGATTCTTATACTAATTAGTAATCATTTCTGATATTCAGTTCAAAACAAGGCATAAGTTTTTCTTGTTTTGTTTTCATACAATTTTTTTTGTGTCAATAAATTGGCATTAATTCATAAATGAATCCAGTTTATCTAGTTGTAAGCATACGTTCATTTACTGTTAACAGTACATTCAAAACTAACAATTGGTTTCTATCTAACTATCAATTCATGAAAATGGTTTCAAACATTGTGTAATAACTGTATTGATGTTATCGACGCTATAATTAGGATATAATTGTGAAATAAAAATGACAAAAATCAGTATTTGTTTCCAATTAAAAACTCGTTTTAAAAGTTGTCTAAAAAACAAATAAACAATTTCTTTACTACTAAATTCATAAGCAATATATTGAATAGTAAAGTTTGAAAAGGGATTTTTTCAGAAATTAACATTCTGTTTACTTAACGACCACTTCACCACAAGCATATTTTCAAAAAGATTTGATACTATATTAAAGAATTCCCAATATGTTTGTGTACCTAACGTTGGCATTTAATGTACAGTTAACTGTGTACATAAATATATTTGTATATCATTTGATAACATAGACAAGGTTAACTACAGTTTTCGGGATACTGTATTCTCATTTTCCATAGACTTTAAATGCATTTTTGGTACCATTTGCTGAAGTTTTCTATAGAAAAAACAAAATTCTTGTGTTTCTGACTACAAGTATAACTAACTTAATGTTAGACTTAATTGTATCACATTTTCCAATCGCTTGTCATTAGAGACGGAGGGGGGGAGAGGGGGGAGGGGACACTCAATGATCCTAGTTAATAGGATCATTACAGTACAGTACAGTACAATATTACATTAGTACCCTGGTGGTGGTGGCGGCAAAGATTTACTTGCAATGATTGCCAATGAGTGAGTGTTTGCTGCAAACTATGGCACAAATGAAGTGATCATTGGTTGAAGAGTTGTTGACTGTCCTCGAGCGCCACCTTTCGGTCACTTTTGCACTCATTTGGCAATTGGTTTACATTTGAGACTCAAATTTTGAGTGCATTTGAAAGTTTGATTGTCTTGGGATCCGATTCAGTGATGTCTAGCACTTCTGTACCGCAGAGAAGAATATTGAGTCAAAGAGACATTGAATTGTGGCTCAAATGCGACGGATATAAGGATTACTTGAATTTCATTAAACAGTTGAATGAATTCGCGAAAGGAGTCCACGAAAGAGGTCTCAACCGAAGACAAGGGGTCACCGAAGAGGTGTTGGTCCGTGTGGTGACACTTCTGGACAAACTGTCGGCTCTGGTCGATGAGGTGAAGCCGTTGGACGACGACAAGGACCAGAGGTTTGGCAACAAAGCCTTCAGAGTTTGGTTCAGTCGTATGGAGACAGAAGTGGACGAAGAGCTGATCCTCGTGTTGGGCGCAGAGGACGCCACAGAACTGAAGCCATATTTGATGGACTCGTTTGGCNCGTTGAAAGACAACACAACTGATGAAAAGTTGCACTCATTTTGTGTTCAAAACTCAGGGCATCTAATGGTTGAGCGAATGGTTGAATGTATGTAACGTCTCAGACCTCAGACACTGTCCCCTCCTTTCTGTGCTGAATACGACACAACCGATTCAATGCACAGTCTATGGACGCATCCATTCAAGAGCAGGGAGTCTCCATGAGAGCGCATACATCCAATGACCGTTCACTGAGCCACCAATTACGGCACTAATTGCTCCATCCAGTTGTCTAATAGTTGTTCAATAGTTCATACCTTTGTATGCAATGTTATCAAGGCAATGTTATGTCAAGTATTACGTGGTATCACTTGATATTTGTTAGCAATTCATTACCATTACTAATTTGACAAAACGGTCAGTTATATAATCGCTTTGTATAACCCCATCCCAACATTAATAGAACTCCATAGGCTTGACATAGGTTTTTATCTGCTTTACCGATAATTTTTCAAAATCACATGTATTAGAATCACTTCGGATCCTGTCACTTATAACCATCAGTTTGAAGATTTCATAGACTTAACATAGGTTGTTCGGTCGAAAAAGCAATATGGACTGGTTTTTCCTATGAGAAAATGTGTTTCGATCACTTAATGATGTTGTTTTTATTCTTATGTTAATCCTATGGGAAAATTTTATCACTGAATGAGTTGTGTCTTTCAAAATGTCGTTTGTGGAACCAAAAGTATTCCATACCATTAAGGCAATAATGTATATTCCCGACTTTTGGTTAAGAAAAATACGATCAAAATTCACAATGTTAAATCTATGGCAATTGGGAAAATGTGTTCAAATCGTATCTTTTGTGTTAATTATTAATTAATAATAATTAATAATTATTAATATGAATTTAGTTAGTATTCTCGTGTTAAATGAATGGTGTCTAAAGTTTGCTAAAATGTGTCTAAACTGTAATGAACTGAATGGACGTAATTTGGCCTCAAATACACGATTTGTTGCGCGAAGTGTCGACTCTCTTGACATGCAATTCATGTATACTATGTATTGAGCGGTTGTGTTGACTGTTCACCGGCACTACAGCACAACAATCGCCACAATACTGGTATCCTATGCTCTCCTCCCTCTCCTCCCTGTTCTCGTGCCAAATGGACACCAATTGAATGGACGGATCCAACACTCCTAACACTCCTAACACTCCTGACCCCCAACACAGGCCTGAAGGCACATCTCATTGCCATTCAATTGGACTCTGTTTTGAATGCATTTCATTACAAATATTTGATGCTTTCGTTTGTCTTGAATAACACTTATTTGGCAGTTAATTGACTTTTAGTCAGAAATATGAGCCATGTCGTTTACGAACCAATAGCCTGGTCAGTCGCACTCGTATAAGATTATTGGCGCCCAACCCCTCATTTGCATACATGTAGTGAAGATATGGTTTTTTGGATACTTTTCAAATAATGTATGAATTCATTGGGTTTTAGTTGTGATTGAGAACTGATAACAAGAGTTTGCACTCAAGTCTTACGCAAAATGCAAATCAAATGCAAATCACTTTATGAATACATATCATAT